CAACGACAAAAGGGGGGACTATAATTTTGATAAGCCCTGTATAAACTAGGGGTGTGGGTGTGGGTGTAGATGCATTATTCATTACACCCCCACCCCCACACCCCTATCTAAAAAGCTGTTAGCGCAATCCCTTGCGGGATTAAAAATGTGAAACACGATGTACCTGCTGTTGCCAATCTTATAAAAATAGTTCTTTTTTATGCATATTGGTGTACATTTCTTCATCGTGCCTTACTTTACATTATAGAACTGAAACAGGATAATATCTCATATATGCTCCAATCATGTGTTAGTTATGCATTATCTCTGATGCTTCCTTGAACTCTTCTTTCACAGTCTATGATGATCCATGGAGCTTGTCTGTCACGGTCTGTGATGGGTCCGAAGGTTCTCTGTCACGGTCTGTGATGGTCTCTGGAGTTCTCTGTCACAGTCTGTGATGGCCTTTGGGGTTCTCTGTCACGGTCTGTGATGCTCTCTGGGGTTCTCTGTTACGGTCTGTGATGGGTCTAGAGGTTCTCTGTCACGGTCTGTGATGGATATAGAATTTCTCTGTCACGGTCTGTGGGGGGGGGGGGTCCAAATTTCTACCCCTAAACACTTCAACATTCCTTTCAGATCGTGTTTCACAAAATACGTTTCGAGCAAGAATGTTTTATTGAATAAATGTATGAATGATCATAGTTTGTTCAGATGATTAAAATTTTGTCTTCAGAAAACTGCTGTTAAAATTGTTTTTCACTTGTCTGATTTTCACATATAATGCTTGGAAAAAATTCATAGTTTCCGCATCATTGATTTGATCAGATTTTTTGACAACGAATTTGAGTGATTTGTGAAAAGATCTCAAAACAAGACGAAAATCATTTAGTAATGCATAGACGTCACCCAATGGAATACGATTTTCTTCAACAATATTTTTTTTACTTTTATGATTATAGAAATCATATGCATAACTATTGCACCGATAGGTATCATCAATTTGAAAAAATGGTATCGTTTGTGGTGAGAGATCTAAATCATAAGCTAAATCATATGACAAAGAATTGTAATTGTTTAGAAAATCATCATTTTCAATGCCTGATACACCAGCAAATGGTGATATGAATGTTTTCTCTTGCCAAGTATAATGGTGATTTAATTGATATTCAAATGTACCATTATCATAAACATCGAATGTTTTGAAATTAATATTCGTTAATGGTAGACGTTGTTCGACATGTGAAAACTGTCTGCGTAAGTCATAAATGACACTATGAAAATATTGTTCATAAACAAATAGAACAAGGTCATTATAATTATCTAGACGTATACGAAATGCCGGTAAGATGTGATTTTTCGCTGGTAATAATACTAGGGAATTGTATTTTTTATTTCGGCGTTGTTCTATACGCTCTCGATACACATCTTGATCTGCATAGAATGGGGAATGCGTAAATAAATAGGACAAGATCATTACGATTTGTTTATCACATACGCCATCGAAATTCTCATCGCAGAATAAATTCGTTTCGATTAAATAGGATAACAATAAATTTGCTGGTTCATGTGGTAATAAATGTGCCATCAAACCACCGAGACCAATTAATTCGCCGGAGTCATTGATTAGATTGAGACGATATAGAAAATCTAATGTATATAAACAATGAAATCGTGTTTGTACTTCGATTATAGTTGCAATATGTTGATTGCTCAATGACAGACTTAATGGACACTCTAAAGCTATCAGCAAACGAATATAGGCTATTTGCTTGTGTTTTTGTGTTGATGATTTCGTGAATAGATGCAATAAACGCAATAAAAATGTGACCGTACTTGGAAAATGCGAGTAAACATCTGGGACACACGACACTGTCAAATGTCCAATTTTCAATAGCGGAATATTTAAAAAGACAACATTCCCTAAAAAAAGCAGCTTATAATATTGATTAATTTAAAAAATAATCAGTTCGCAAAAGTGACTGTTGCAATTGGATATAGCTATTCTTGCTAAAGAATGTTCAAACAAGAGAAGCGTATTCATTTCTCTGAACAGTCATTCTATTCAGCGATGTTGACCATCGCGGAGTCGATTTTTGCAGTTCCGGAATCGCACAGATTTCCCAGGAGTTCCGGGAATTTCCAATGGCTTCGTCTCGATTCAATTCCCAGAATTTCGTTTCGGAATCGTTTGCTTATTTGAGAGGTTATTCTTCATGCACAATATCAAATGTGAGGATAAGCGCGAAAAGGAATGCCAGTACGCAATTCTGGAATCGGAATTGATTCCTGCAATTCGGGAATCGGATGAAATTCCAGGGAATTCCGGATTTACAAGTTCTATTATTATTCTATTATTTCTTATCAATTTGATGATTTTCCAATCCCGTTGAGGAATTCGGGAATTAGGCGTAGTTTTTACGGCTCCGGAATCGCTCGGAATTCCTAGAAGTTGTTAGAATCGATTTCGGAATTGATTGAAATTGGGGTTTGATCCAATTCCGGAATCGGTGTAATCGATTCCTAGGGCGGAATTGATTCCCCAATGTTCAACATCGCGGAAAAGAATGTATTCTCATTTACCTTGTAGATCAAAACCTCTTCTGCCTGCACGTCCTGACGCTTGTCTATAGGACAATGCACCAAGCCATATAGAATCATTAACGAATGCCACTGTTTTACATGGCATATGTATGCCACTTGCTAATGTTGCCGTGGAGAAAACGATTTTGAGGTAACCACTACGAAATAATGCTTCAATGGCTGTACGTTGAGATTTATTCACTCCAGCATGATGATAAGCTACACCACGTTGCATATACTCTAGAAGTTCGGGATTTATCTGGTCATTAATTCGTTCTAAGAAATGTTTTTCGGTTTCCGATGGTGCTCTCGTAATTAGCGTACATTCAGGTAAAATACCTTCTAGTGTTCGTTGTTCGATGGCGGATAATTGTAAATCAGAATGTATCATGTTCGTAGTATCTTTTTTTTTCTTCATTAACTTATCTTCGTAAAAATTTTTTGCTCTTTCGAAGTTACGTTGTTTTTCTTTAATTTTTTCGATTTTTTCTTGATAACCTTCTGATTGACGAATTTTTGTTTCTTGGTTCTTAAGATGATGACCGACAAATTCGGCCATGTTTTCACATAAATGCCGTGAATCAGTAAAAACAATACATGGTAACTGATTGTTTTTTTGCAATGTTAAAACAAAATCGATTATTAAATTACGCAACTCGATCGATTGAGGATAGTCTTTGTTGACGAGATCGGCTGCTAATTGATTCTTGATCAAACTTATCATTGTATCATTCTTATCTTGTATCATTCTATTAAACTGTTGACATACAAGCTTGCTGTAACCATCGAATTTTTCGCGTTCAATGATCCAATCATCATGAAAATAGTTTTCGAGTGATGGTATATTACGAGCATATTGTTTCATTAATGGAATATGATTGTGATTCATGTCATTGTTCATGGCATCGTACAATGCCAAAGTTTCCTTGGGTGATAAGATGAAATCATTTGGAAGAGAACCGTTTTTCATTAATTGTTCACTGTCCATGAGACCGATTGGATGAATTGATTGTAATTGTTGATTGAAATAGAGATACTTATGTAAATCCGTGAATCGTTTATGAGATATGATCAATCGAACGCGACGAACCGATGATGCTTGTTTCAATTCATAACGACGATGTTCAATATGTTTCAACCATTTTTGTATTTCATGTCCATTGTTTACTGTTGCACTGAGGCCGATCATTGGACAATCTAACAACAACATACAGGATTCCCATGAGTTATTAGTGGACATGCAGTGTACTTCATCAAAGATGACATATTTGATTTCGTTGCAGAAGTTTTGATGTTCAATCGATGGTGATAATAATAAAATTTGCAGACATTGTGGTACAGTACAAAGAACTCGACAATTACTGACATTCGAGTGGAAATCTCGTGTAAATATTCCGAGTGAGATGTTTTTTTTGGCGTATTTGGAATACATTGTTGCATGGACTTGATTAATGAGAGCTTTCGTTGGACCAACATAAACACAGATTCCGTTCGTCGTTGTTTTCAGTATTGACTCAATAGCATAATATGACGCATATGTTTTGCCTAAAAGTAAAGAATATATTAGCTGGACAATCAATAAGTCCTCTCAGACTGTAATACAGAGTTACTGTTTACATGTCGGTTTTCGCTATTCATCAGTTGCTACGTTTCCAATTTCCTCTGAATACGCATCTGGTAGTGGAAACCTTTAAATTGAAATGATCATATGAAACATGATATTTTGTGCATTCACATTCTTTATACAAGCGAAGTTAAAGAGGTGAAGTTTTAAAGTGATATTTTCATCGTTATTCTGTCCGCTGTCCATCACAGACTATAGCAACTATAAGCAAAGAAATATTCTGTCGGTACTAGAGTCAGTGCATACATTTTCCTAGCAACCGTAATTTTGAGAATCATCGAACAACCCATAGGAAAATTTTCATCAAAAACACTCTGCCTTATCGCAATGAATGGAACCGCGTTTGAAGTGTTTATATGGCATAGCGGTAGTCAGACCTTTTGTTTGCCTCTTTGACATTGCCAGTAATCTTGCTCCAAAATATCGCGCTTTGAGCCGGTATTTAAACATCTAATAGACAATTTCATCTCTTCGTTCCACTTATTTGCTTTGAATTAATTCATCTACCCGAACTTTGTGAAAAATTCAGTAGGATGGCTCTTTGAAGAGCTCTATTTTGAATCTTTACAAGTTCTGTTGTGCTCTTAGGTCATCTTCCAGTCACATAGTCATTAAGATAAGTTCATGAAATATTCTCGCGATCGTAACGTACAATACTTCGTCTGCTTTTACACATGTCATTTATATTTGAGACATTGGATCTGCAATATAAGTTGTCGTGATACTTGATACCGCTGTGACGACTCAATGCAGTGCGGTATATGGAACTGCCACTAGTTGCAACACTTAGTTTCACGTTTAGAATAGACTTCGTCGCGATTTGTGAGCAATCGCTACAAACCATAGTAATTAATAGCATACTTTAAGCCTACAAATATACAGTTTATATGGTATGTTACGAATGCACCGCGGTTAACTATAGCATTAGGTGCGACAACGTAACTCACCGATAAGGTTTACTGGAAAATCGACAATCGGAATTTCGAAATCGGAATTTGGACAGTATTGTCGAATTTCCACTGCTGTCTAAATTCTTACAGGGTTTCGACAATAACAAATTTCATGTGGTATTTTATTGTCAAGAATTTGAACAATGAAACACCACATGAAGTTTGTTATTGTCGAAACCCTGTAAGAATTTAGACAGCAGTGGAAATTCGACAATACTGTCCAAATTCCGATTTCGAAATTCCGATTGTCGATTTTCCGTTTTACCACCGATAATAAACTGCGGTAATTTAGAAGAAAATCATGGAAGAGTGCGGTTTTCTACATATGTTTTTCGTAAGACGTTTTCATTAGGCATGAACTCAACCCAAATCGTTTAGGAGTTTGGATTTGGATTAGAGGCTCAGGCATGGTTGACAATTCATGTTTCAGTTTGCGTGGGTTACATACGTATATGAGACGTACAAGCCTTTTTCTGCTTGTTTTCATATATACAAAAATGATCTGCATATATAGATGACAATAAGAAAAAGACTCAAACCTAAACTCGAACCCAAACTGTTTGGAAATTTGGGCGCCAAACCTAAACTCAAACACATTAAACCAAACTCACCAAACCGAAACAGTTCAGGTTTGGGTCATGCCTAGTTTTCATGGCGACGAGAAAGAGTATCACAGTTTCAACAGTGTCAATTCTTTTGGCAACTAGTTGGATACTTCCACAGGACTCTATTATTAAAACAGTTCCAATGAAAGTCTCAATAGTCTAAGACTGTAATATTTGATTGGAAATCATTTATGGGATGTAGTATGTCGTGTAACACAAGTGTTTGTGAGTATATCTCAAAACTGCATGAATATTCACTCCCCCATTCAATCATTTCCGTACCTGACGATGTCGGAGCAACGATCAAACACGATTCATTTCTGTCGATGGCATCAAGGAATTTCAGTTGCCATTCATCTGGTTCATAATCTTTCATCCGCTTACGCTCATCTGTTATCCGTTGTTCAAGACGTGGCAGCCGACTGTCGATCTGTTCTATCTGCCAACGGTACCACAATTCTCTTGTCACTTGTGCGACACCCAACAATAAGTTCATATGTGTTTGTATATCATCATCACTCCAATAGTCTTGTACAGACTGATCCAAATGGACAATATTAGTTAGTGTCTCTAAATATATAATTTTAAAACTCTCATCAATTGTAGTGGTATTTGTTGTCGCCGCACGATCAATGGGCAATACTGTCGAAATAATATCGTACAATATTTTTAGTTTACGTCCAAGAAATTTCAATTGAATTTCTTTAACTGTAATACAGGGTAACGTTTCATCGATAATTTTAATGGCTTTTTGCCAATTGCTCTTATTTATGAATGACTGGATTTCGAGTTTTTTTAATTTCCAAGTGTCTTCTTGTCTCCTTTGTTGTTCAACAGCTCGGTTTCTTCTATGCTCAGCTTTGATTGTATCTCCATCCAATCGTCGCATGACACTCAGAGGGTCTAATCGTTGCCATGAACTTGGTTGTTCAATGCATGTAGTATTTGCCGTCGAATTCAATGAAGGAAGAACTACTTTGTCAAAATTCTCTTTTAGCCTTTCGGTTTTTGTTAATGAATCACCATACAAAGTCAGATATCGACATTGTAATTGATATCTTCGATCTTTCTTTTTCTGTTCCTTGTCAGTAGTGTTTTTGTTTTTCTTATTGCTGTCGTCATCATCGTCTTCGTCGTCATCATCACTGTCGTCTCGAATCATGTGCATTTCGCTTCCAAAATCATAGTATCGTTGCCAGCGTCGGACACCTACAATAAATCAAGTGCAGGTGAACATGGATGGTATGAAAGATGTTCGATACGTTTCCGAAAAAGAAGTTTTCTCATGTCATCTGGGTTGAGATAAGGACGAACCTATAGAAGGTATATCAGAGAGTAGCGTTCACATGCAAAAGAAGACAACGTCGATAATGTTTTTCCTTTAATGGGATGTAGCGAAGAAGAATCTGCAAGCGACTTCTAGACACGGATAACTGTATAGCAAAAGTCATTTTAATGATTTTTTTAAATATAAAGATTCAATGGGTGCGCTCATAGTTTTATTCAAAACTGCAAGCAACACACCGATCAGCGATAATGATTGTAGTTTTTCAGTGATTGATTTTCTTATTTTCCAGAAGTTCGAAATAAAGAGTAGAGGTAATGATAAAAAAGATCTTTCTGATAAGAAATTACGTAAAGATACTTCAGAAAATGATCGTAGATGTCGGAAGTTCTTAAAGAAAATATATTATCAGTTTTGACACTGTGATGACGGCTAATTAGGTACTAAATTTCCTTTGAAGTCGGCTATGGAAGGAGAGAGCTGAAGCATTTTACGATTAGCGGTGGTTCAGCCACTTAACTTAGGCCTCTATTTTTAGTCAAAGAATTTTTTGATTTATTTTATATAATCGACATTTCACTTAATTAGACATAAGTACTATCCAAGTTGAATCTCATCTTAGACTATAGGCACCAAGATGTTGGACCAAAAAGATCGGTTTTTGTTTTCGACGGATTTCAAATTTTCTATTTAGCTCTACGAAGAAACATCTTAAACTGTTCGAATACTTTCGTTTGGAGACTTCGTGTATCTCGTAGGTCTTCATGAGTCGCAATGTTTCTTGTGAAAACTGTGAATTGATGAGCTTAGATTGGAATTTAGTAGAACATAAATTAAAGAATAAGCAAAATCTCACGCGGACATATGAACTCACTCTATAGATCATGTTCAACTATCAACAAGAGAGCTATGCCTTTGCTAGATTTTTCCACCAAACGTTTTTAACTGTTATGTGTTTTTGATCCCAATTCCTCCATCATTCCCAATGTCTTTCAGAGTATTTTATTTATCCTATTGTTTGTTCATTCAATATAAACTAGATATCAGGAAAATTCGTTTTTTTCGCAATGTTTCTATTCAACTGTCATCTTACCTTGGTAAAGCGGTCTTTGATTAGGATTGTTCCTAAGGTCAGAAACAACAGCCATATTTGTTGGAAGTGACCTCATTGTCTTCGCCAGATACTTGTCAATCAAACGATTTGATACTTTGAATATAGTAGTGTTCTGTTGACGAATTCTTTCATTTGTAATATTCATAGTAGAGAACCATATGCGTTTGTTCGCAATCAATCGATTTGTTAAATCAACGAAATACATGTCAATCGATTGCTTATCAGAATTGAAGATTTGTTCATCTGGATAAATTCGTTTGAAAAATGTCTTACATTGATTAATGATCAAAGTTGTATCAGTGTCAATGGTAAAACGTTCATTGGTTGATAGTTTATATAATGTGAAAACAAAAAGACGGCCATCGAACATATCGCTTATTTTCAAATGATTGAGTTCGACGTCGGATATGTTTGCTAAACTGTACGATAAATATTGTTGAAAATGACCAATCTCTTCTGATAAATGTGGATTACATTGGAGCTTAGGAAATAACATATCTGTGTTATTCATATGAACAATATTTTTAATATGTCGATCACTAATCGATAAACGGATAAGTAATGATATATGTAAAATGAAATATGGAATGATTGTTTTCATGGTTTCTGGA